ATGTTACTTAACGTCCATCTCAGCGGTGTCGACGATGAACCAGGGATTGATATCATGATCAACGCCCCACATCGTCGGGCTAAAGATCCATTGGGTCGTCCTTACGACAAGCGATGATTGCTTGGGATCTTTCCAGACACGGAATCTCCAGGGAGCATTATCAACACAAACTGATTTCTCCAGTGAATATTGACCTCCGTTTATTCCACTTGACTATTCTATGAGATCGTTGAAATGACCATAATACGGTCAATAAAACGAGTGGGCATCGACGCCACGTTGTGTATAAACTCAATTATCACGTCTTGTCATGTGTCATGAATGCTGAAGGTGGCATAGGTCGCCGGGAGTAGCGAGTAGTAATTAGGTCAAGCAACCAAAGGGCAAGAATCGGGACGACTGTGTTATCTGAATATAAACGACCACAGATCCTGGAATTACTGACGAGACTGCAGACTGCAGCTCGGAACAGCAGGATTTAAAAAGTAGGGTTAGTCTGATAGTCTCTGAAAATATCTAATTTGGATGTAACAATATCACGACGGGGGACACCAGAAATGGGCTTCACAAATTGTACCCATATGGGGAATCGAACCCAGGTCTTCGGCATGACGAGCTCTAACCACAAGGCTACCCCACCGCCACCAGGGTTATTGTTGACCAATGCTGGCATGCTACAGGTGGGTAAGTGACATTCGATTTGTGTATGTGTAAATCGCTTACATACTAATCTGTACCGCTTGGTAATTGACGTTATCTGTGGTTGTAACTGACATTTCAATCCGTTTGGTTTCTATGGCACTGACGGCTTACATTGCAAGTGGCTAATACCACATCATGGTTTTGTCACTGTATGTAGTGGATTAATCTCTTGAGAACGCACTAGTTACTTCACAATGTAAGGAATTAAACATTCCTCCTCTAATTAAGACAGACAGATTCATTAAAAGAACCACAGACGCATTAACGCCAGGTGCCAATGTTAAGTGATGTCATTATGTTGTTAATTACAATATGTGATTAATATGTGATTAGTCTCTCACTGTTACTGTCCAGCAAAATCTGTTGACCGCGCGTGTATGCTGACCGATCAGTTTATACAACAGGTAAAACATAAGCCAAGCACTTCAATCACACTATACGGTATAAAGGGAGACTGGAGCGTTCACCGCCACTCCCACCTGACAGCTCTCCCTGGACACACAGCAGTGTTACAAGCCTATTTCTCTCAGGGCGAGGCATCTTACAGCACTCCCTGGACACACAGCAGTGTTACAAGCCTATTTCTCTCAGGGCAAGGCATCTTACAGCACTCCCTGGACACACAGCAGTGTTACAAGCCTATTTCTCTCAGGGCAAGGCATCTTACAGCACTCCCTGGACACACAGCAGTGTTACAAGCCTATTTCTCCCAGGAGAAGGCATCTTACAGCACTCCCTGGACACACAGCAGTGTTACAAGCCTATTTCTCTCAGGGGCAAGGCATCTTACAGCACTCCCTGGACACACAGCAGTGTTACAAGTCTATTTCTCTCAGGGCAAGGCATCTTACAGGTCTCCCTGGACACAAAGCAGTGTTACAAGCCTATTTCTCCCAGGGCGAAGGCATCTTACAGCACTTCCTGGACACACAGCAGTGTTACAAGCCTATTTCTCCCAGGAGAAGGCATCTTACAGCACTTCCTGGACACACAGCAGTGTTACAAGCCTATTTCTCCCAGGAGAAGGCATCTTACAGCACTCCCTGGACACACAGCAGTGTTACAAGCCTATTTCTCCCAGGAGAAGGCATCTTACAGCACTCCCTGGACACACAGCAGTCTATTTCTCAGGGCAAGGCCTATCTTACAGGTCTCCCTGGACACAAGGCATCTTACAGCACTTCCTGGACACACAGCAGTGTTACACGTCTATTTCTCTCAGGGCAAGGCATCTTACAGCACTCCCTGGACACACAGCAGTGTTACAAGCCCAACATTATTCCATGTAAAACCAAAAACGTACATTTGAGAAATTTGTCTCACACAAAAATTACATGGAGAGAAAAATTGAAGGAAAAAAAGCAACGATAAAGCCCCAAAACCTTCACACATGTCTGGGTACACACTGACTATTAAACTAAAACATTTATCATCAGTAACATAGCTAAAATCTTTTGCAAGAAGCCTGTTTTCCACACTTTTTAAAAAACCTTCAGAAACACAATAAATGCCCCAAATACTTTTTGCACTCGAGACGTTTGCATTTTCATTTAACAACGTGAATACGGCTCTTTGAAAAAAGACATTGGGACTAATTCCTAATATTTTCTGTCATATTGATTTGAAGACTATTGCTTAAAGTAGTTGTTCTGGTAGTCTCTCGTACAGACCCTGAAGCAAATATATCCAAGAAAGCCCACACAAGTTTAGAAAATGTGGCAAGTCTAGATTTCCTCAGCTTCTGAAAATGAAGAAAGTCTCAGGGCTCCTTTTCATTATATTTTTTTCTTTTACTATGAACTAAGTAAAATATGTTCATTTCAGAGACTAGTTGTTAGTCTATTGTTCCGGCACAATGTAAGAAGCTTGTACTATGATGAAAATGGATGACCTTGGCTATCTATCTCTAGATTTAACGCGAAATGTAAAGAAAGGTCAGTGGGAGAGGGTGCTCTGTAATAAGATTAAACAGTTAGAGCTAAATTTGTAATAGCTTCCTCAAGATCTATTAGTTTTAACAGACGTTGCGGTTCTGAGGCTCCTTTCACGAAACAACCTTTACTAAGGTTTATCTTAACTCCCATTCTTAGTGACTTTGTCGAACGAGGCCCTGGTAATGTACGATTCATCATCTGTAAGTGCAATCGCTGTCCTAACGTAAATTTAACCATGATGATGACGTCACTTAATTTTAAGGTTATTAGGAAACATGCAGAAATAATGCACATAGGCGGATCCAGAGGGGTACAGGGGTGCGCACTCCTCCTTTTGTCCTGAAAGTTTGTTCAATGACCATTGAAACTCGGGTGAAAATGAAGTGTGCGCACCCCCCTTTTCTCAATAGCGTGCACACGCCCCACCCCCACGCCCCCTTCTCAAAAGCTGCATCCGCCCCTGATGCATCAACCATAATATGATGTAAAGTCGGACAAATCACTCGGACCTGTAGATTCAACTTCCGGAACAAACTCGTGAAGATCCGGTTTAGAATTGGTCCTAAGAAACTTATCGTGTGGTCAGCCTCGCTGACTTTGTTGGTCCATGTCCACATATCCCAAGATCGATGTTCATGATATCAGTCTATGGATTGTATAACCCAGAGTCGGTTATTCACAGACCACTTTTATATATGAACATAGAGATTTTTTCTGGGTTACATCTTCTTTTTATTCTCGAGAATAAAGAGAATAAAAAGAAGACGTAACCCAGAAAAAATCTCTATGTTCATCAAATATCATCTTCTAAAATGCCAGTCAAGCATCCACTTTTATATAGCTGCAATGTTGCTGAGTGCGACGGTACACGGCAAACAATCAAACAAGCAGAGATTTCTCCATTTTAAGTTACAGGATATCGGCCATTGTTTAGAAATCATAATTCTGTAGACAACCAGTGTACAAACTGGACCATTAACTGTATATTTGTGCGTCTGCTGTTTGACAAGTGGGTGTTTTTCCATCATACGTCAATCACTGGAATTTCATGATCCAGACTCAATTGTTTGCAGACAGCAACGGCTGTAATGTTGCGCTTTCAGCGGGTTACTTGCACGCTTTTTTCGCTGTGCCCAAGGTCCCCCTGAGAACTAGGGCGATTGCCAGCTTGTCAAGGTCAGTTGTTTTTGTTAATTTGTTGTTCAATCACCCATCAGATACTCACCAAATATGTGTCGTTATGTTATGGTATCATCAACACTGACTGTGTCGAGAGTCCCACTTACGCACAGTTACAGTGTCACGAGTTGTTATTGACTCACTAGCCATGACGCGTGTCGACTGTTAGGTCACGTTGACCTTCCTCTCCAGGGATTTATAGCTGATGAAGCATACAGTGCATATTCCTTAGCAAGTGGATTAAAATTTATCAGACCAAAGTCGTGTCTGAATAAGCCAGCCCTTTGTGAAACAGAGACAACATGTCTGCCGTTATGTTACTCTATCATCAACACTGAATGTGACTCTGAAGCTCTCTCTGCGTCCAGTCCCACTTACGCACGGTTTCAGTGTCACGAGTTGTTATTGACTCACTAGCCACGGCGCGTGTCGACTGTTGGGTCACGTTGATCTTCCTCTCCAAGGATTCACAGCTGATAAAGCAAAACAGTGCATATTCCGTAGCATCGGCAAAGGCGCCGCAATTCGTTGTGCATACTTGCGTCATATAGGCCCGTGAGCCCGTGAGAGACCTATGATCGCGGATTCGAACCCCGCTTCTCCCTCACCACCCCTGATTATAATCGAACCAACCTGTTATTTTAACAAATATATACGTTTTAACCACATTTTATGTAATGAGTGTAGCGGTGGAATTTTCTGAAATATTCAATTCCTCGCCGATTTCGTTCAAGTTAGAAATAAATGTTAATCATAACATAAAAAAACAATATACGACTGCAAAAGTATAGATTTTTTTTATAAAATTATTGTCCAAACAGTGATTCGAACCAAGTGATTTTAACCCATGATTATTAGCATGTGTAGTATCTCTATTTACACTTAGATACATATGTGATTGAAGCCCTCTCCAAGTTGAAGAATTGAGGAATACACACCTGTAACCATACGTTCAGTAGTTTGAAATTCTACGATATTTACAATGGAACTTCTTCATTCCTTGAACTGTCATTTCAGAAACATCAGCTTCCGAATGATTTGTTTGGGAAACGTTTGTGTAAAGGGAAAATACTTCTCATCGACATTCATTAATCCAGCAAATCATTTACCACTCACTCAAATGATGGGACCAGCATTTGAAATAAGCATCGTCGCTATATTTCCTGAAACTGTCCTTATTTCCAGGACGACATGCTATCCTCAACGACGGCAACAACAATGAAGGAAATACACCCGAAACGGAGACATCGCCTCGCGAGGGCGCAGCTGAATAAACTGGAGGCCACCTTCAACAAACATGGCGGCTACATCGACTTTGCCGACATAGACGCCCTTGCTCAGGAGTTAGATCTGGACGAAGCCTACGTTAGGGTAAGATTAGATAAAGATTACACCCGTACTGAGTGAGTGAGCGAGTTTAGTTTTACGCCTCTTTCAGCAATATTCCAGCAAGATCACGGCGAGAGACGCCTGAAATCGGCTTCACACATTGTACCCGTGTGGGAAATCGAACCTAGGTCTTTGACATGAAAAGCAAACTCTCTACCCCACCTATGCCTGCCGTATTGATTGTATGACATCTGGCGTTTTCAAAAAGTGAGTTAACGCCGTTTGCGCGGACGTTCGACCGAGATGTGTCCGTAGAAAGACCAACAGGCAAATTGACGTTTTACCATTGCTGATGCGACGCTGTTTGATCAATGCTAAAATAGCTGGATTCGGCCTCACGACGAGCGGATCCTGACGTCAATAAGGGATGCAACCCTGAAAAGGGATTTGCGTCTCCTTACGAATTTGGGATCTTCATAAATTAACCTAAAGTTGTTCCCTATTTCGGTTTTGGTCGAAACACAACGTGTCATCAACCCAATACAATTTGCAATCCGGCGAATCACATCATGATCATCGCTCTACGCAATTTGGATACGATGACATGTTTCATCCATTTCAGCGAGCCAGACCGCCCGATGCCGTTAGTCGCCTCTTACTACTAATAAAGACCATTTCTTACTGAATTCACCCTTGACGTGTTGAAACTTGCCTATAATACATAGGACATATTATTCATTTGTTTTCATTTACAGAAATGGTTTTACAACAGGAGGGCAAGAGCTAAACGAAAGGTAAAACCAACCACATCTTCGTATGCTCATCTGATACACTAGACATTTATGCCAATAAGTATTACATAACTCCATGATGTACAGGAGATACCACTAACATAAACCCTGCAGCAGCAACATCACGACAGAGTCAGTCTGGATGTCTAAAAGTTTAGTTGCTATTATACAAGTAATTCTCAACAATATTTTATATAAAACACAAAAGTTCGGACCCGGTTCCACCACTCCAGGTTATTATTGAAACGACTGGATATTCTTTTATAAATGTGTACAAGTTTTAAACCATGATTTTAGCATGTGTAATGTCTTTATTTAGAGGTATATATTTTAAATCAATATTATCAAAGTCTGAGTCACCAATGGCAGCTTTCAGACACAACAATCCTTGCATTAAAATCACCCGCTTGTGACATTGGGTATGTAGTTATGATTTGATGTTTGTTTTCAACTCCTTAGATTTCAAAATTTGATAGTCCATGATTTAACGAGCGCTTTGCCCAATATTCAAATAACACACGATCCTCTCATTACTACTACGAATAAGCATATGGACGCTATAAATATAACATGCATGTGCTCCAAATTCTTCTGTAATGATATTATGTAGTACTTAAATCTATAACAGGTAGTCGGTTATAATTACCGAGAAACAAAGTATTGAATTCTGTAATTCTTTAAAGAAGATATACATATCATACAAGAACTGCTTTGTTTTCCCATGAAGCTCACATCATCCACTGTTGGTCAGTGATTTAACGAGCGCTTCGGGTGGATCTGATTTCAAACCAAACTCTCCCCTGAAGTAACATACATGCTAACATTTGTGTAGCGCCGATATCTAGCTCAGCTGCTCAAAGGCGCTTTGTTTTTCCCTCGATCACTGGATGTCAGTCTCAACAGCACGTCGCATTATCAATCTCAACTCCCTAGGGAGCATACAACTCTTGCAGCCACTTTGCGCACCTAGTTAGTTAGGCACTCATGTCGTAAACATAGTATGGCATGGGAACTCATATAATATCCTCTATGTACGTTGATCCTTAACGGGTAATAATTTATAATTACAGATAATTGGCAGCAAACTCTGAATAGCGGGTAGGGCAGGACAAGCTTACCCTCTCTCAGACACCCGGTGTCATGACTACCTGTCAGTGGTGGAATGTATTTCTCGGGCATTGACGTTTACGATTTACAGATGCTTTTCTAGTTAAGACCTGTGCATATTTTCTGTACGTACGTGTAACTTTAAATTTTTCTTATCTGTTATAAAATATGTTGGACAAGAACGGATCGTGTATGTTGTCCTCGTATAATGAGAATGAGTGAGTTAAAATTACGTCACATCGACTATATTTCAGCATATAGCGAAGTTCACACATACACAAGTCCATTATAGGAACACTTGGAAGCATTTTTTATTAACTAAATTTGAGGCTATATAACCACGGTATACGTCTCCAATTCGTCAAACACAGTACAGTTATCTCCATTCTAATTCAACTCGTTGTACGCTGTTTCGTGAAAGAAAGTCATTATTTAAAGCAGGTCAAAGTTCCTCTAGGTCAATGGTTAATCACATCACTCCTTGAAATCGCTTCTTGAACTTACACCATCGCCAGAAAAAGTAGTTCCCTTTTCAAACATCAACACATTCACACTCCGGCGCAGTGATGACTTAGCATAGCATCACTGCCACAGGCTAATTTGCATATCACGTGACCGGACTTTTCTCTTGTTTGTAAACAAGCGCGCATATTCATAATAAGAAGAGACTGGTCTTAGGCAAGCTTTTCGGCGCACTCTTCACAATGTTTTATATTGTTACATATATATTCTTCCACAACTACGACAGTAAGGTTTATGACAGTACATATTTAGATATCAATCTGGTTGCATCGTTTGCTCTCTGTTGGCTTCGATGACAGCACGTGGAGCCGTACAACCTATGTAAACAAAGGATCGCTACGCAAATCGAAATAGTGTTACATTTTTTAGGATATTTTCTTAGTGAAACAAAACCATTCTATCAAAGATGCTTAATAAGATGTGTAGACTCGTCAAAAATAAAAGAGTAAAGAAATATGTACATTATATTGAACGGACGGTGCAAGACGTGACGAATTGTCACATCTTTCTGGCCTGTGGCAGAGGTACTTGCCACATGGAACTCTGGGTAGGAGAGTGCAACACATTTATTATGTGCACACTGATTAAATCTGACAATGATGAATAAATTGTAGTGTTATAGCTAAAATTGACGGAATTATCATGAAACCGCCCTCTAGTTATCAGAAATGAGCGAGTCGCCTCAAATGATAATGGCCTGCTGATTCCTCAACGACGGGACATTATCAATTCTATTGTCAAATGACGTCACAGCAGGTGACGTCACGCTCCATAATGACGCCATAAATCTTGTTTCATTATCTATCAGTGTTGCGATTGAAGTAAATTTACAATTAAATTTATGATACTGTTTTGTCTTTCTTAACACAAATTCCATCCATTTTAACGGGATAGGGGAGTTAATTGACCTAGGGCTTCTGCAAATGACAATATCCTGAACATCAGCGTTACCCCAATAGTGTAGGGATACATTCAAAGATTTTAGTGAATCGGTTTTCAAATTGCGACCGTATTAAGCTGTTTCCCGGCTCCCTTTGACGGCGCGCGAAACCTTGCGATATGCGAGACGGGGCCGAGCTTACGACCGTATATGCTGATTATACGGTCTGACCAATCAGAACTCGTGTTGCATACTAAGTTGAATTAGAATTCAACATTGCACTATTAATTACAGTTTAAAACACAGGTGATACCACGAAAGTACAAGTGAAGCCCCCTCAAAGCTGAAGGGTTGAGGAAGTATGGCGTCAACTACTGTAAGTTTTTCATTGCGACATCTCTGTTGAGAATGTCTCGAAGCAGGCCACATGAAGACTTTATGCGTGATTGTGTGGGTATTGTTGAAAATTATGTTGGGATATAGAGACACATCTCAAAACTATACGTTCATATAGTGTGAAATTCTATGATATATACAATGGAACTTCTTTATTCCGTGAGCTGTTATCCAGAAACATCAGCTTCCGATATATTAGTGTGGGGAACGTTTGTGTAAAGGGAAACTGCTGCTTAAATGCTCCAATGCTGGGGCCGACTGTTGAATTGTGACTCGTCGCTATATTTCATGGAAACTTCTAATTTCCAGGACGGCAGCATGCTATCATCAACATCGGCAACAACAACAATGGTTAACCTACCCCCCAAACGACGGACACATGACTTCACGAAGGCGCAGCGGCATAAACTACAGGCAACTTTCAACAAATATTCTGGCTTTATCGACGTTGCCACTAAAGACGATCTTGCCCGGGAGTTTGACGAGGACGAAGCCTTGATTAGGGTAAGATTACCAAAAAATGACACGCCTCTCACTAAAGACCATTTCTTACTCAAATCAAAGAATCACCCTTGACAAAGCTCGCCTATAATACATAGAAAATTTTATTCATTTGTTTTACTTTACAGAGATGGTTTCGCAACAGGAGGGCACAAGCTAAACTAAAGGTAAAACCAACCACATCTTCGTTTGCCCATCCGATATAACGATCCGAACACTAGACATTATGCAAATGAGTATTACATATCAACATATATAATGTGATAAGGGGGTCTTCCCACTCACCCAACTCCTATTGTTTCAAGCAGAGGAAATCACTCAGCCGTGATAATCCCCTTTAATACTTTATTTTGTTCCCCGTGAAATAGTAGCTAGTATGTGTTGAACAGTTGAACTGAGCGTCGTCGCTATTTGTCATGAAAACCGTTCTAATTTCCAGAACAAAATGCTATCCTCAACAACGGCAACAACAACAGAGAACATACACCCAAAACGGCGGGGACGTCCCTTTACGAGGGCGCAGCGGAATATACTGGAGGCAAGTTTCAACAAAAATAACGGCTACATCGGACGTGCCGACAAACACGACCTTGCTCAGGAGTTAGATCTGGACGAAGCCTCTGTTAAGGTAAGATTAGAAAAAGACAAAGAGTTTAGTTTTACGCCTCTTTCAGCAACATTCCAGCGGCGGGGGACACCAGAAATGGGCTACACACATTGGGTACCCGGGTCTTCGGCGTGACGACGGAGTGCTTTAACCAAGGGAGGTAACTCTGCAAAAGGGATTTGCGTCACCTTACGGAGTTGGGATCTTAAACTGAAATGATACAGTTCCCTGTTTCGGTTTTGGTCGGAACTCTGCAGGTGATCAACCTTATTTAATTTGTTACTGAACTCGTCATGTTTGTTGTTTGAAAGATTAGCGATACTCCACCTTATTTGACGGCTTTCTGTAAATAATCGAATCTGGACCAGGTAATCTGATGAATCACATCATGATCATCGCTCCACGCAATTTGGATACAATGACATGCATCAGCCAGTACTGCGAGCCAGACCGGGCGATGCCGTTAGGCGCCTCTAACTAAAGACCATTACTTTTCTCACTCAAATCAAAGACTCTGACAGATGTTCACCCTTAAAGCTTGTCTACGATACATGGGGAATTTTATTCATTTGTTTTACATGTTTTACAGGCATGGTTTGAGAGCAGGAGGGCGAAAGTTAGACGACAAATAAAACCAACCACATCAGAAATAAGAGATGCAGTCGCTCAAACACCTGCCATGGAAACGACGTCGGCGAAACAAAGTACAGGTAACAGACAGCTGTTCGACCTGAGCAAGCTACAGCCAGAGCAGAGCATCATAAATACTGGCAGATGCTTTGGACTCAGAAAGGAGGTACAAAATCAGCAAAGTGGACTGCCTTCAAAACAGTCTCATACAACTGAAATTGGAAAACCGGAAGCTGACAGTTTGTCTTCCGTGGCCGCCAGCCTCGACGGGAGATCGGAAAATACTTGCAAAGACGTCAATTTCACTGGACTGCTAGGTACACCAAAGGCATCTAACACTGGAATTGCCGACAAACAGGTTTCAAGTCCGCTAATGGTTTATAATATACAGAAATTCAGCCCAACGGCTGTGTCTAGGGTACTTCCCGTGAACGAAAACCCACGAGACCATTATGATGGTCGGCATGTCATGAAAACAGGGACACCACATTTGCCACACGAAAGGCCTTCCACGAAACTCAGAGGAATAGTTCCCAAATCAGCCGTGTCATCATCCCCTTCAGAGAGACAAGGTCAAGGTCACCCACAAGATGGCGATGAGTGTTCAAATGCACCTTCGTCTAATGAGCAGCTTAGGTCTCACAGCGAAAACAGTGGCAAGTGTCCACGCCATGTGCCAATGTCAACACAGCTTCCATCCAAGTCTGTGATGGATCGGACTCAAAAGACAGTGGTTCCAGATAAAGATACCCTTGTTCACGAGGGTTTACCCGGCGAAATCACGGTAAGTATTTAAACATTAATAAGATGTTGATATCATGTACACTGCTGGTATTTTGTCACCTTCATACTGATAAAATAGAAGGTTGAAGGTTCTATAAATGAGCATCTTCCACATGGACCAAAATGATGAAAAGAAAAACGCCTCTCAGAAAGTTGTCATCTGTAGAAAATGTTATACTGAGGAATATACTTCCTTTATGAAGTGAAAATTGGATCCCATTGGAAATCCACCCTAGACATCTTAATTAACTATGAAAGTGTAATCCCAAACTGTTTCAACTGGTATTTTCTTCATACAGCATACTTAACGTATCAAGCATTTTAATATTTCATCTTAAATACTATAATTAGTATTAATTACAAGATGAGTGGTGGTGTTAGCTTGGGTTTCAGGTATATGACAAATGAAGTTAAGAGAGTTATCTTCCTCACATCAACGGAACAAATATATAACCCAAAATATACTTCCATTGTGATTTAATGTATAATTTGTTACTTTTGTTCGGTTGCAGTTTGATACCAAGGAGCATGATTCAAGTTTCACAAACTACTCCCGACAAGAAGAGAGCAGTGTAGACACAGATGAACCCAAGGAGCATGAGCATTTAAACTTCTCCCGACAAGAACTGAGCACCGTAGAGCGTTCTCTGTACACTGACGGTCCCAACACTCAACTCCCTGCCCTGGATAAAGTCAGTTTCTTCAGCGCCATGTGTGAGATAGACACGGACTGGACTCCACTGCCCGATGACGTGGCTGTGATGTTCAGCAGCTACAGGGAGAGTCCAGATTGTTCAGGGGGCGTCGATATCACAGACGCTGCCGAATCAGAAGCTACAGTTGTGGAGAAGAACGTTCATTTGCCTATACTCTTGTGTTGATGATTGGTGTGTCACTGGTTGAGAGATTTAGGACATCTTGTTAAGAAACACTTTATACGACCCCTCCAGAAACTCCATCTTGGACGAGTATTTATTGTCAATCCCAGGGGCAGTGATGTAGGCCAATGGTTAAAGCGCCCGCTCATCACGCTGAAGCCCCGGGTTCAGTTCTCCATATGGGTACAATGTATCAGGTTCATATATGGTGTCCACCTCCGTGAAATTGCTGGAATGTTGCAAATGCCGTGTAAAACCATACTCACTCACTACCGTCAATCCTGATTAGATGGTTTCACTTTTCGTGTTAGTGTTTGAGAGGTATCAAATGGTTGCCTAGTCCACCAGTCTATCAGCAACGCCATTTTGGACACACGTTTTAAACTTCTAGGCCGTCACACTATCATAATGTAATGCTGTATAATAATTTATATCACCATATGTGTTTTAATGTTTAATAGACCAAATCAGAAATAAAACGGATTTATTGAATGATGACACCTGATTTGGGTATAATTTAATCTTCTTGGGACAGTTTTATTCTGAATGTTCTGGTTGACAACTTTCCAAAAGACAGTTGTTTCTCGTAGGATTTTAATCGCCGTATTTAACCTACTGTAGTAGAGGTGCCTGACTCAGATGAAAACAGATGCTTTAAACACAAATTTATTTATTCATTTCCACAATCACAATCTCCATTAAATACTTCCATCGCGTAACTCCGACCATATTATAGGCATGTGTCCACGAATCACTATTTTGTGTCAGAAATATCATGATATTGGGGAAATAAATATTTTTGCACTGAAGTTTATAACTTTAATACGCAAATATCGCTGAATATCCATGTCAATGTCGGGCTAAAGATCTATTGGGTCGTCCTGACGAAAGCAATCATTGTTTGAGATAACACGGAATCGACAGAGGGCATCTTGAGCTCACATAGATTTCCCCAGTCAATATTAACGTACGAGTATTCCACTTGAGTATACTATGGGTTCGATGTACTGGGGTCTACCTATATTACGGTCAGTAATACGAGCGAGGATCGACACTTCGTTGAGTATAAATTCAATTATTACGTCTTGTCAGCTTCATGTGCCCAACTTCGACTACTGTTGTCATGTCTGGGATAACTGTACAAATTACAGTCATTACTACTCGAGAATTTGCATTTGGACGCCCTGAGAACTATTTGTGGAGCAGTTCGAGGTACTAGTCATGCCAAACAAATTCTCAACTTCTAAAAGAACGGAGACAGCGCTTCAAATTAAATACATTTTTATAAAATGAGAAACGGTATTTCACCTGACTATCTCAACAAACTTATACCACCTCAAGTCTCTGAAAGTAAAACATATAATCTTTATAGATATAATAGAGCCAACCTACAGACAATCAGTAGAACCCAGTCTTGTGCCAGATCATTCCTTCCCAACACAATCAACTAGTGGAATAATCTACCCGATGAAGTAACTTATACATGCTTTAAAATAATTTAAATCATTAATCAATCGTTCCGATAGAATTGCGAATAACCTGGATTTGAATTATGGTTCTAGATTCTGCCAAATTGTCCCCTGTCGCCTCAGACTCGGTTGCAGCGACTTAAATGCTGATAAGTTTAGGCGCCATGTATCAGACACCCCACTGCGCATACAGGTATCAATTTGAGGATACACTTCACTTGTAATACACATACGGCACATTTTTTCTGTATTTGTCATCCAATACGATAATATCAGAAAGACCATGTACTTGTATATACATGGGCAGGGCATCAATACCTGATATCAATACTTGTAATATCAGAAGACCATGTACGGTAATATCAGAAAGACCATGTACTTGTATACACATGGGCATGACCTGACATCAATACGGTAATATCAGAAAGACCATGTACTTGTATACACATGGGCATGACCTGACATCAATACGGTAATATCAGAAAGACCATGTACTTGTATACACATGGGCATGACCTGACATCAATACGGTAATATCAGAAAGACCATGTACGATAATATCAGAAAGACCATGTACTTTAATTTCATACACATGGGTATGGACGATAATATGACCGGTAATATGTAGAAAGACCATGTACTTGTATACACATGGGCATGACCTGACATCAATACGATAATATCAGAAAGACCATGTACTTTTATACACATGGGTATGACCTGACATCAATACGATAATATCAGAAAGACCATGTACTTTTATACACATGGGTATGACCTGACATCAATACTTTATGGCAATAGTTCCGTCAGTAGTTCCACAAACATGGAAATCCTTCAATCAGTTCACGAATTGATCGTTAAAAGCAAAATATTAGAGCAATTTTAAATTAATATAGAAAGGATAACTGCATTATCGTACTTTTCTTCCGCAGACACCACTGACTCCAAAAATACTGACTTTGTATATTCCGTTTTTGCAACTGGATATTATGTTTAGCACTATCTTGTAAAACGTGTACATTTACTAACCAGCTGTCTGAGGTATTTAAATAAGCAAGCTTTGCTTTTTACCAATCCCGATTTCATCGAAATAAAAATATGTTTAAACCAAACATACAACTTTGTGGGTAACATCTTCTTGTTTATTGCACAGAGCGTCGTTTCGATGTAGATTGTTAGAATAAGAATGCAATACACAAGAAGTTGTTATCCATAACGTCTTAAGTCGTATGCCTTGTTATTCCCTCAACCAATTTAATTTTTCTGATGTATCTTTTAGTGTCCACAACTAAACATCCCTAGACATATATATGGGATGTACTCGTGAAGATCCGGTTTAGAATTTGTCCTCAGCCACCATGGTATCTCATAGTGTCAATCACTGGATTTTCTGGTCCAGAACCAATTGTTTGCAGACAGCATCGCACAGCTAGAATAATGCTGAATGTGGCGTCCCCCTTACCCCCACCCCCCAAAACCAAACCAACAAAAAAACAACACACACACACAAAATAAACGACCTAAAAAACAAGCAAAGCACACTCATACTATAGTCAAAAATATACAACCGATCCTGCTTTTAGCAGAGAACTATTACGAAAGCGGACACGTTTTTCTTCTTTCTATATACATGTATATTTTCGCCAGAAAGAACGAGCGTGGAAATACTTCCCATGTGCGATCTTACGTGCACGCTTTTTTCGCTGTGCCCATGCAAGGTCGCCCTCAGAACTAGGGCGATTGTCAGCTTGACAAGGCCAGTTGGTTTTGTTACTTTGTTGTTCAACCACCCATGAGATACTCACCAAATGTCTGCCGTTATGTTATTCTATCATCAACACTGAATGTGACTCTGAAGCTCTCTATGTGTCCAGTCCCACTTACGCACGGTTACAGTGTCACGAGTTGTTATTGACTCACTAGCCACGGCGCGTGTCGACTGTTGGGTCACGTTGACCTTCCTCTCCAGGGATTCACAGCTGATAAAGCAAAACAGTGCATATTCCGTAGCAAGTGGATTAAAATCTATCAGATCAAAGTCGTATCTGAATAAGCCAGCCCTTCATGAAACATAGACAACGGTGTTTGTTTCCATCTACCCCCTACCACCCGTCAAGATCCGGTTAGAATTTGTCTCCAGCAACCCATTCTTCTCACGAGAGGCGATTCCCGGATCAGGTGGTCAGACTCGCTGACTTGGTTGATGCATGTCATCGTATCGTATCCGAATCGATTATAATCGAAACAACCTGTTATTTTAACAAATATATACGTTTTAACCACATTTTATGTAATGAGTGTTGCGGTAGAATTTTCTGAAATATTCAATTCCTCGCCGATTTGGTTCAAATTTGAAATAAATGTTAATCATAACGTATAAAAACAATATACGATTGCAAAAGTCTAGATTTTTATTTTTAAAAATTATTGTCTAAACAGTGATTCGAACCCTTGTGGTTTTAACCCATGATTATTAGCATGTGTAGTATCTCTATTTACACCTAGATACATATGTTACTATGTCTTCGGAATATTCACACACGTCCTGTGGTATGAATCTCAATCAGCAATTGCACCAGTCAGACACCACAATTCTTGCAGTAAAACCACCCTCTAGTCCCACTGGGTATAAATGTTTATGATTTGATAGATGTTTTCAGCTGTTTCGGTTTTAGACTTTTCAGTGACTTACATATATAATGAAAACAAACTGATGCTCGTGATTGAAGCCCTCTCCGTGTTGAAGAATTGAGGAATACACCCATTTAACCATACGTTCAGTAGTTTGAAATTGTACGATGTGTTCAATGGAACTTCTTCATTCCTTGAACTGTCATTTCAGAAACATCAGCTTCCGAATGATTTGTTTGGGAAACGTTTGTGTAAAGGGAAAATACTTCTCATCGACATTCGTTTATCCAGAAAATCATTTACCACTCACTCAAATGCTGGGACCGGATGTTGAATTGAGCGTCGTCGCTATATTTCATGAAAACTGTTCTTATTTCCAGGACGACATGCTATCCTCAACGACGGCAACAACAATAACGGTCATACACCCGAAACGGCGGAAACTACACTACACGAAGGCGCAGTCAAATAAACTGGAGGCAACCTTAAACAAAAATGACGGCTACATCGACCCTGCCGAGAGAGACGCCCTTGCTCAGGAGTTACATCTCGACAAAGAATCGATTTGGGTAAGATTCGAAAAAAACATTACTCCCGTATTGAGTGAAAAGTGAGTTTAGTTTTAAGCAGCTTTTAGCAATACTCCATCAATATCAGGGTGGGGGACGCCTGAAATCGGCTTCACACATTGTGGGAAATCGAACCCAGGCTTTTGACATGGAAAACAAACTCTCTACCCCACCTGTGCCTACCGTATTGATTGTATGACATCTGGCGTTTTCAAAAATTGAGTGAAGTGTGTTAAACGCCGTTTGCTCGGAATTTTGGTCGAGGTGTGCCTGTAGAAAGACCAACAGACAAACCAACGTTTTACCATTGCTAGGGGCGGTGGGGTAGCCTAATGGTTAAAGCGTTGGCTCGTCACACCGAAGACCCGGGTTCGATTCCCCACATGGGCACAATGTGTGAAGTCCATTTCTGGTGTCCCCCGCCGTGATGTTGCTGGAATATTGCTAAAAGCGGCGTAAAACCAAACTCAGTCAGTTTACCATTGCTGATGCGACGCTTTTAGATCAATAGCTGGATTCGGCCCACGACGAGCGGATCCTGACTCGAATAAGGGATGCAACCCTGCAAAAGGATTTGCGTATCCTTACGAATTTGGGATCTTCATAAATTAAACTAATGTAGTTCCCTATTTCGGTTTTGGTCGAAACACAGCATATCATCAACCCAATACAATTGCAATCCGGCGAATCACATCGTGGTCATCTCTCTACGCAATTTGGATACGATGACATGTTTCAACCATTTCAGCGAGCCAGACCGCCCGATGCCGTTAGTCGCCTCTTACTAAAGACCATTTCTTACTCAAATCCAAGAATCACCTTTGACGTGTTAAAGCTTGCCTATGAAACATAGGAAATTTTATTCATTCGTTTTCATTTACAGATGTGGTTTTGCAACAGAAGGTCAACAGTCAAAGGAAAGGTAAAACCAACCACATCTTCGTATGCTCATCTGATACACTAGACATTTATGCAAATAAGTATTACATAACTCTATGATGTACAGGAGATGCCATTAACATAAACCCAGCAGCAGCTACATCACGACAGAGTCAGTCTAGATGTCTAAAAGTTTAATGCCCCTACAGTCGCTATTATACAAGTAATCCTCAACAATATTTTATATAAAACACAAAAGTTCGGACCGGTTCCACCACTCCAGATTATTTTTGAAACAACTAGATATTTGTATGAACCATGATTATTAGCATGTGTAATGTCTTTATTTAGAGGTATATATTTTAAATCAATATTCAACTATATTATTGTCAAATCCTAGTCACCAATGGCAACTTTCAGACACTACAGTCCTTACAATAAAATCAAATCACCCACTAGTGACATTGGGTATTTAGCTTGGTGTTTGTTTTCAACTGTTTAGATTTCAAAATTTGACAGTCCAGTGATATAACGAGCGCTTTGTCCATTATCCATTACGTACAAAGTGCGCGCGATCCTCTCATTACTACTGTGAATAGGACGTGTGGTCCAAACTCTTCTGTATGTGTTGGAATGGACCGGATTATGTGTAGGTTAACCTCGTATAAAATAAGAGTGAGTGAGTGTCGCGTCGGTTATATTTCAGCCATAAAGCGAAAATCCCAACTTCACATCCATACACAAGTCCATTATAAAATAAAGTCACTTCATAACAATTTTATATACACATTTTAACATTACAATATTATTTACAATTTAAAACACAGGCTATATATCAAGCCTTCCCTAAGCTGAAGAGCTGACTAAGCATGACGTCAACTATTTGCAGTCTTGTATTGCGACATCTCTGTCCAGACATGTTTCTTGAAGCATGTGATCTGATCGACTGATCTGCGTTAAGCGTAAACAATCTGAAAGTTTCTTCCGTACATTCAATGGGGATGAGAAAGGGTAGTCCCAAAAGTAACATGTTATAGCGTGGGTATTTTTAAATGTTGAAATTATGTCTGAATAGATGCACATCTTAGACTCTATTATATAGTGCGTAATTCGACGATATATACAGCGAGGCCTCTTTACTTGGGCAACTGTTAATCCAGATAACTCAGCTTCTGATTAACAAATTTGGCAAACGTTTGAGTAAAGGGACAATACTACTTATCAACGATTTGTTCATCTGGAAAATCACTTAGCCAAACGATTTCACTCGAAACAGTTAAGGGAATACACCGATATCAATAACAGTTTCGAATGTAATAAAGGTGAGAGAGTGAGTTTAGTTTTACACCGCTTTTAACAATATTCCAGCAATATCACGGCGGAGAACACCAGAAATGGGCTTCACACATTGTACCCATGTTGTGAATGGAACCCGGTCTCCAGCGTGACTAGCGAAAGCTTTAACCACTTAGAGAGTCTGTATGTAATATGTTTGCATGGACTGCCTATTGTAATATATATTTCGTAGCGAATTCATTTTAATTAGTTTGACGGATGTGATTAAGTCAGACTATTGAAGTGTTTGAAAGACTAAAACTTGGAGACATTTAACAATTTCAGCTTCTCTGGTCTGTCAGCTAGTATATCTATCCAGCGCAACGGTTGAATTGAGCGTCGTCGCTATTTGTCATGAAACTGTTCTATTTTCCAGGACGACATGCTATCCTCAACAACGGCAACAACAATAGAGAACATACCCCCGAGACGACGGAGACGTCGCTTCACGGTGGCGCAGCTGAGAAAACTAGAGGCAAGTTTCAACAAGAATGAAGGCTACATCGACTCTTTCGACAATGCCGACCTTGCTCAGGAGCTAGATCTGGACGAACCCTCTGTTAGGGTAAGATTACATCCGTACTGAGTGAGTGAGTGAGTGAGTTTAGTTTTATGCCTCTTTCAGCAATATTGCAGCAATATCAGGCCGGGAGACACCAGAAAAGGGCTTCCCACACTGTACCCATGTTGGAAATCGTACCTGGGTCTTCGACGTGACGAGGGAGAGCTTTAACCACTAGGTTGACCAACACCCTTATTGATTGTACTTCATTGAAACACCAGGTGTTTGCGAAAAGTGAGTGACGTGTGCTAAAAGCCCGTTGTAAGGAATTTCGTTTGAGATAAATAAAGACAAACAGAGAAGCCGACGTTTTACCGTCTTATTGTGGCTCTGTTTGATCAATGATAAAATAGCTGGATTCACGATCCTGGCATGATTAAAGGAGGCAACTCTGCAAAGGGATTTGCGTCACCTTACGGAGTTGGGATCTTAAATTGGAATGATACAGGTCCCTGTTTCGGTTTTGGTCGGAGCATTGCAGGTGATCAACCTTATATAATTTTAACTGAACTCGCATGTTTATTGTTTGTTCACCTTTGAAGCTTGCCTACAATACATGTGAAATTTTATTCATTTGTTTTACTTTACAGATATGGTTTCAGAACAGGAGGGCGAAAGTTAAACGACAAATAAAACCAACCACATCTTGGTTTGCACATCCGATACACCCATCAGTCGCACAAACACCTGCCATGGAAACGACGGCACCGACACAAAGTACAGGTTACAGGAAGCCGTTCGACCTAAGCAACCTACAACCAAAGCAGAACATCATAAACACTGGCACATGCTTTAATAGCAGAACAAAGTTGCAAAGTCAACAGAGTGGTCTGCTTCCAAATCATTGCTACAAACAGTCTCATACAACTGAAATTAGAAAACCGGAAGCTGACAGTTTCTCTTCCGCGGCCGTCAGCCTCGACGGGAGATCGGAAAATACTTGCAAAGGCAGTGCGTCAGACGTCAATTACACTGGACTGCTAGGTAAACCCAAACTGGACAAAGTTTCTAACCAGATATCCGTCGAAGCACCTTATACTGGAATTGGCGACAAACAGGTCTCAAGTCCGCTAATGGTTTATAATGTACAGAAATTCAACCCAGCGGCTGTGCCTAGGGTTCTTCCGGTGAAAGAAAACCCACGAGACCATTATGATGGTTGGCATGTCACGAAAACAGGGACACCACATTTGCCACACGAAAGGCCTTCAACGAAACTCAGAGGAATGCTTCCCAAATCAGCCTTGTCACCATCCCCTTCAGAGAGACAAGGTCAAGGTCACCCACAATATGGCGACGGGTGTTCAAATGCACCTTCCTCTAATGATCAGATTAGGTCTCACAGCGGAAACAGTGGCATGTGTCTACCCCATGTGCCAATGTCAACACAGCTTCCATCCAAGTCTGTGATGGATCGGACTCAAAAGACAGTGGTTCCAGAAAAAGATACCCTTGTTGACGAAGGTTTACCCGGTGAAATCACGGTAAGTATTAAAACATTAAGCAGATGTTGACATCATGTACACTGTACTCATATGTTGTACTGAGGAATTTACTTCATTTGTAAAGCGTAAATCGTAATTTACTATCAAAGTGTAATCCCAAATATAACTGTTATAACTGGCATTTCATAGAAAGGTCATGCTCAACGCATCCAGAGTTTTGAAATTGCGTCTTAATGGGTTTAAATGACATAATTAACATTTGTTACAAGAGTGGAGTTGATAGCTTGGGTTTCGTGTATGACTACATATGTCATCCAAAATACACTTTCATTGTGATATTATGTAGCTATACAATGAAACTACTGTTCTGTTTCAGGTCGAACCCAAGGAGTATGATGATTTAAACAACTACTCCCATCAAGAGCTGAGCAGTGTAGAGCGTTCTCTGGACACTGACGATCCCAACACTCAACACCCTGCCCTGGATAAAGTCAGTTTCTTCAGCGCCATGTGTGAGATAGACACGGACTGGACTCCACTGCCCGATGACGTGGCTGTGATGTTCAACAGCTACAGGGAGAGTCCAGACTGTTCAGGGGGCGTCGATATCACAGACGCTGCCGAATCAGAAGCTACAGTTATGGAGAAGAACGTCTATTTGCCTATACTCCCGTGTTGATGATTGGCGTGTCAATGGTTGAGACATTTCAGACATGTTGTTAAGAAACACTTTATACGACCCCTCCAGAAACTCCATCTTGGACGCGTATTTATTGTCAATCCCAGGGGCAGTGGGGTGGGCCAATGGTTAAAGCGTCCGCTCATCACGCTGAAGACCCGGGTTCAGTTCTCCATATGGGTACAATGTGTCAGGTTCATATATGGTGTCCACCGCCGTGAAATTGCTGGAATGTTGCAAATGCGGCGTAAAACCATACTCACTCACTACCGTCAGTCCTGATTAGATGGTTTCACTTTTCGTGTAAGTTTGAGAGGTTTCAAATGGTTTGCCTAGTCCACCAGTCCAGCAGCAACGCCATTTTGGACACACGTTTTAAACTTCTAGGCCGTCACACAATCATAATGTAATGCTGTATAATAATTTATATCATCATATGTGTTTTAACGTTTTTGTTGATCCAAACAGAAAATAAAACGGTTTTATTGAATGGTGACACCTGATTTGGGTATATGTTAATCGTCTTGGGATGTGTTATTCTGAATCTTCTGTTTTGACAACTTTCCAAAAGACAATGGTTTCTTGTTGGATTTTAACCATGTATATAACCTGCTGTAGTAATTTGTAGACGAATCTGGCTACACGTTAAAACAACATGATACGGTCCAGTGATCAGGAAGTAGAGTTAATGTGCTGACCTATTCTACCTTTACTAAAATGAACTTGACCTAAAGTCAAATGTTGTCAATATGTGAAAAATGACAAAAGTAGTGTTTCAAACTATAAGAAAGGTATCTTTATTCATTTTGAATTAATTTCATTCATTGGAATTGACAAAATGTCATGGAATATAATTCTTCAACTTATGATGCCACCCGAACTGTGTCCAGATTCCTGCAGGAAAGCGTGCCTCATAGTCCGACCATGTGCTGGTCAGATAGTCAATGGAGTCATTCTAATGGGGCGTGGTTGTGTTGTAGATTTCATGAAGTCTCCAGTCGTGGAACAGCGGCCCTTGCATGCAGACTGCACACACTCCAATTAGAAGATAAACATACAGTGTTTGAAATTCAGAGGTATATGACGAAATTATAATATACGACTCACACTTTGTTAAGGATCACAAAAATTCCCAAGTTTACTTAAACGTAGATTTGTGTTTTGAAATTTGGCCATTTAAAACTGGATAAATAATCATATGGTAACCCCTCTTTAGTCAAATAGTTACTTTAATCTAAGCCTATGCACTTGATACATGAGTAACCATAAAAATGGTTTTCATGGCACCAATCAACCATTTTGCAAATCATGGAACGAGTCATTGACAAGTACACAACACATGTCAGTTGCAGGTATGGGTTCCACAAGATGAAATGACAAACTGAAACCTGGGATCCGTGGTGTAGTGGTTAGAGCCCGGAGAGCGGAAGGTCGCGGGTTCGATCCCCGACCGCGTCATACCAAAAGACGGTAAAATATGGTACTTGTTGGTCCCTGCCTGGTGCTTGGCATTAATGGGCACAACAAGGACTGGTCGGCTCGGAGTCAGTATACTGTGTCTGAGTGGGGTATTCATGCTTCACTGCAGCATGGTATCTCAGTGAGCTAGCACTATAAAACCAGCTTAAGTCTGGGATAGTACAAGCAGCCGCACATACACATACACACGCATCCACGACACAACAGATTTGTCTCCATTCTGCCATAACCGCGTTATTAAGATTTAAAACAAAAACATACGTGTACTGTGTTGGAAAATCAGAGGTATATAACGTGATTATATGCCCCTGAATGACGTTAATTAACCAATCACAATCCAGTATTTACTGAAGTCATGGTGGAATGTGTTGTAGTTTGTCGTAAAGGCGATAGCGGTGCAAAGAATATATATACTTGCTGTCCTCCTGCTTGCGAAGTGATGAATTCAACACGCTGAACATTTGCCATTGTGTGATGGGTGCTGTTGTTTCCCATTCTAATTTATCAGGAGTTTGATCAACTGAGCAGACTCATTGTATATGTCTTTATGTATCTTTATTGGATTATAAGGACCAACCACAGCTTTCAAACTATAACTTGCCATTCATTATCACCAATATCATTATGTCGTTTAATTTAAGTGAAACTGCATTAATTACCCTTTCTCCAAACCCAACGACATACCCTTCAGTGACTGGTAAATGGGTTGTTCCATTATTTTATAGGTAAAAATCAGCTCCCATTCTACCTACAGTACTGTTTGTAGGCAAACTGGGATGTAGGCAAATTGGGACTGTAGGCAGAATGTCTGTCCTGTATATACGACTCTACGAACGAAATACCTAAAGCCATGCTATTATAAGCATCCAAGTGTAAGAAACTTAATTTCATTGTTAACAGATACTACCACATTATCACTATTACAGAATCTGACAATGTACATCTATTTCGCTATGAGTTTAAGAAAAAGGATTGTTACAGAAACGAATTTTTAAATGACGTCTAACTTCTCGTGTAAACTTTACATATACTACAGGCCTGTGGCAATGTTAAGTTCTGAATAAAGATTGATTGATTGATTTACATTATTTAAGTTGTGTAGCATGTTTAGATCAGTCTTCCTATTGTTCTTCGTTATAGGGGAATTTTTCTTGTGTACCAATCCGAATTATGAATCGAACATAATTATAAACCTAACAGTACTTGATTTGTTTCAATGGCATTCAATGGCGATGATCAACTTCTTTATTTTAACAATGGCGACATTTCGGTATAGATTCTTATACCGTTTGATATGCTAAAATGGTATAAGAATCTCTACCGAAACGTCGCCATTGTTAAAATAAAGAAGTTGATCATCCATAAAGTTGTGTCATCTCTATCAGTACTGACACCGTGTGTTTGTCCCTTGCCCAATTTTTGTCTCACCGAATTTCACATATTAGGAAGATATTTTTGAAATATTGCTGTTCTAAAACCACCAAGTTTCATGGTGTTTGGAAAATTAAAAGCACGCCTAAAAGCCTCTACTGTTCGGATGACACGGAATCTCCAGGGGGCATCATCAACACACATTGATTTCTCCAGTGAATATTTACCTCCGTTTACATCCACTTGAGAATAGTATGGGTTCGTTGTACTGACTAAAATAAGGTCAGTATAACGAGTGGGGATCGACGCCTCGTTGGTGGGTAGGTGACATTCGATTTGTGTATGTGCAAATCGCTTATATACTATACTACACCGCTTAATAATCGACGTTTTCTGTGGTTGTAACCGACATTTAAATCCGTGTGTTTTCTATGGTGCTGACTGTTAAGTACAATATGTGATTAGTCGTGACGAACGCTTTAACCACTAGGCTACCCCACCGCCACCAGAGTTATTAATGACAAATGCTGTAGGTGGGTAGGTGAAATTCGCTTTGTGTATGTGCAAATCTTTACATACTATACTATACCGCTTGATAATTGACGTTATCGGTGACATTTCAATTAGTTTTCTATGGCACTGACGGCTTACATTGCAAGTGGCTAATACCACATCATGGTTTTGTCACTGTATGTAGTGGTTTAATCTCTTGAGAACGCACTAGTTACTCCACAATGTAAGGAATTAAACATTCCTCCTCTAATTAAGACAGGCAGATTCATTGAAAGAACCACAGACGCATTAACGCCAGATGCCAATTTTAAGTGATGTCATTGTGTTGTTAATTACAATATGTATGTGATTTGTCACTCACTGTTCCAGTCCAGCCAAAACTGTTGACCGCGCGTGTATGCTGACCGATCAGTTTACACAACAGTTAAAACATAAGCCAAGCACTTTAAAAACACTATATACGGTATAATTTAAGGGAGACTGGAGCGTTCACCGCCGCTCTAACCTGACAGCACTCCCTGGACACACAGCAGTGTTACAAGCTTATTTCTCTCAGGGCAAGGCATATTACAGCACTCCCTGGACACACAGCAGTGTTACAAGCCTATTTCTCTCAGGGCAAGGCATCTTACAGCACTCCCTGGACACACAGCAGTGTTACAAGCCTATTTCTCTCAGGGCAAGGCATCTTACAGCACTCCCTGGACACACAGCAGTGTTACAAGCCTATTTCTCTCAGGGCGAGGCATCTTACAGCACTCCTCCTGGACACACAGCAGTGTTACAAGAGGCATCCTATTTCTCTCAGGGCAAGGCATCTTACAGCACTCCCTGGACACACAGCAGTGTTACAAGCCTATTTCTCTCAGGGCAAGGCATCTTACAGCACTCCCTGGACACACAGCAGTGTTACAAGCCTATTTCTCTCAGGGCGAGGCATCTTACAGCACTCCCTGGACACACAGCAGTGTTACAAGCCTATTTCTCACAGCAGGTTACAAGGCATCTCTACAGGCATCTTACAGCACTCCCTGGACACACAGCAGTGTTACAAGCCTATTTCTCTAAGGGCAAGGCATCTTACAGCACTCCCTGGACACACAGCAGTGTTACAAGCAGTGTTACAAGCCTATTTCTCTCACACACAAGGCATCTTACAGCACTCCCTGGACACACAGCAGTGTTACAAGCCTATTTCTCTCAGGGCAAGGCATCTTACAGCACTCCCTGGACACACAGCAGTGTTACAAGCCTATTTCTCTCAGGGCAAGGCATCTTACAGCACTCCCTGGACACACAGCAGTGTTACAAGCCTATTTCTCTCAGGGCAAGGCATCTTACAGCACTCCCTGGACACACAGCAGTGTTACAAGCCTATTTCTCTCAGGGCGAGGCATCTTACAGCACTCCCTGGACACACAGCAGTGTTACAAGCCTATTTCTCTCTATTTCTCTCAGTGGCCAGGGCGAGGCATCTTACAGCACTCCCTGGACACACAGCAGTGTTACAAGCCTATTTCTCTCAGGGCGAGGCATCTTACAGCACTCCCTGGACACACAGCAGTGTTACAAGCCTATTTCTCTCAGGGCGAGGCATCTTACAGCACTTCCTGGACACACAGCAGTGTTACAAGCCTATTTCTCTCAGGGCGAGGCATCTTACAGCACTCCCTGGACACACAGCAGTGTTACAAGCCTATTTCTCTCAGGGCGAGGCATCTTACAGCACTCCCTGGACACACAGCAGTGTTACAAGCCTATTTCTCTCAGGGCAAGGCATCTTACAGCACTCCCTGGACACACAGCAGTGTTACAAGCCTATTTCTCTCAGGGCGAGGCATCTTACAGCACTCCCTGGACACACAGCAGTGTTACAAGCCTATTTCTCTCAGGGCGAGGCATCTTACAGCACTCCCTGGACACACAGCAGTGTTACAAGCCTATTTCTCTCAGGGCGAGGCATCTTACAGCACTCCCTGGACACACAGCAGTGTTACAAGCATCTATTTCTCTCAGGGCAAGGCATCTTACAGCATCTACAGCCCTGGACACACAGCAGTGTTACAAGCCTATTTCTCAGGGCAGAGGCATCTTACAGCACTCCCTGGACACACAGCAGTGTTACAAGCCTAT